GACTGCTATATTTGAATTGCTCTTCCTTTCTTCAGGGTCTTGGTATTTCAAAGCCAAGCTGATGTTGGTTAATGGAGATGGGGGGACGACAGAGACACCATTAATCTATCAAATGGGACAGTCTTGGCTACAGATTTTCGAAACATCAGAAGTTAATATCAAGGCTTTTACTGTAACTTTTGAGGGTTGGTATTAGTGAAGGAAGTATTTTCTGTCAGCAATATAGACTTAGGGCAACATTAATATTGGTTCAAATTAAAGTCAATATGCTTTTCATTAAAGTTGCCTTAGCAATAAAAGTCACCGTTAACTGTTTCTCAAAGGCAAAATTAAGAAAACTAAATGCACTTTCAGATATTGTAATAGGAACTTCTTAAATCGAGGAGTGACATTTCACCAATGACATTTGATTTTTTACTTGGAAGATAGCATAGTAATAAATGCATTATGCTTTTCGTATTACTGAGTTAACAATCAGACTGCTTCCCCCCCAAATTATATTTCTGTCTTTGTTATATCAAAACATAATTTGTTGTGTCTAATCTGTGAGTGATTTCTCCACCTTAATTAAATCCTTTGAAAATAACCCACAGATGGACTATTAAAGGACACAGTAGATGCCAATCAAATCGTTTTTCTTGATGATAAACTTACAAAATGAAAGTCATAAGGGGACTAACTTGAGGAGCATGAGAATCCACTCTTTGTTTAATTTAATCTTTTGGTGTTCCATCTTCCTATTAACAGACATGTCCCCTGCTTATTTATTTTATTTTATTTTTTTAAGAGAAAATCAGGATTTATTCAAGTTGGAAATCTCCTGCCAAAGCAGCAAGGGGTGGGGAGTCCCAAGGGAGGAAGACCCAAAAGGCTTTTAATATACACATCCCCTGTTTATTTATTTATTTATTTATTTATTTTAAAGAGATTTATTTATTTATTTGCAAGGCACGGCTGGAGAGAGAGATGGAGACACAGAGCAAGAGAGAGATCGTCCACCCACTGGTTCACCCCCCAAATGGCCGGAATGGCTAGGGCTGGGCCGGGGCTCATAAGGGATGCTGGCATTGCGGCAACATCTCCAGCTGCTGTGCCACATGCCAGCCCCCTCACGTCCCTTTTACTACTAAGAATGGTTAGCTTCTCATTCTACCCTGAGGACAAAGGGGAGTTTGTGGACCTCCTTTTGACCTTTCACTTTGAGGCCTACTGTTCTTTTTGTTTTCCTCAATGGTCTAAACACACAACTATGTAATTATAGGAAATTGTGCACTTGATAGCAATGCAGGAAAAGACACATGACTTCTACTCACTGTTTGAGGAGAGAGTGGCAGGAGCTGATTGTCAACCAATCGTCTCCCAGAGCTTGTGCTGTCACTGCGGCAAGAGAACTCACAGAAGCCCACAGTGTACTGGCTCACAAGGACAGCGACACAGAAGCGGACGTACAATGTGTAGAATGCTGTACCTCTTCAACTGGCATGCTTCTAAAAAGACAGCCTGGGGGATCGAATTCCTGAAAGCAATGTTATTTTAGCAGACAGACACGTGTCTCCAAATTTCAGCTTTGTAGCAATTGGGGCAAACCGTTGGAAACGCCAAGGCCAAGTTCCTGGAGACACTGGTGCTTCCTACAGCCTGCATGTTGAGGTGGCAGGAGAGGCCAGCAGGCTGCTTCGTTGGTAGTTCTTTCTCTCCCGCCTCTTCCTTCTCCCTCTCCCCCTTCTTCTCTCCTTTACTTTTTCCTTCTTTCCTTTCACTCCCCATCTGAAACTAATCAGGAAGGAGTTGGAAACATACTGATTATTATCTTTATATGTTTTCCATGTTTAGGGAATCTAAATGAGATATGGAAAGAAGAAATTGTTTTTTGTTTTGAGGCCGGCGCCGCGGCTCACTAGGCTAATCCTCCGCCTAGCGGCGCCGGCACACCGGGTTCTAGTCCCGGTCGGGGCGCCGGATTCTGTCCCGGTTGCCCCTCTTCCAGGCCAGCCCTCTGCTGTGGCCAGGGAGTGCAGTGGAGGATGGCCCAGGTGCTTGGGCCCTGCACCCCATGGGAGACCAGGAAAAGCACCTGGCTCCTGGCTCCTGCCATCGGATCAGCGCGGTGCGCCGGCCGCAGCGCGCCGGCCGCGGCGGCCATTGGAGGGTGAACCAACAGCAAAGGAAGACCTTTCTCACCTGTCTCTCTCTCTTACTGTCCACTCTGCCTGTCAAAAAAATAAATAAATAAAAAAAAAAAAGAAGAAATTGTTTTTTGTTTTGAGCTTTTTTTTTCTTTTCCTTTCTTTGTATAAAAGAAGACTTTACTAGATTCCTCTAGTAAAAACCACCAGAACTGGAAAACAACATATATTTACAGCTTACCTTTTGACTTAAGGGCTTTTGGGTTGACTTCACAAAACCTTATAATGATCTATTTTCAAAAATGTTGGGGCCGGTGCTGTGACATAGCAGGTAAAGCTGCCGCCTGAGGTGCCGGCATCCCATATGGGCACCGGTTCAAGTCCTGGCTGCTCCAGTTCCGATCCAGCTCTCTGCCATGGCCTGGGAGGACAGTGGAAGATGGCCCAGGTCCTTGGGCCCCTGCACCCGCATGGGAGACCTGGAAGAAACTCCTGGCTCCTGGCTTCGGATTGGCGCAGCTATGGGGAGTGAACCAGCACATGGAAGACCTCTCTCTCTCGCTCTCTCTCTGCCTCTCCTTCTCTCTCTGTATAACTCCAACTTTCAAATAAATAAATCTTTAAAAACTGTTTTGTGCAACTGTAGAACAATTATGGCAGTACACTTGCACAATCTGACAGCTCTCTGATAAACTCTGTGATTAAAAAAAGAGACATAAAGGCAGGTTTAGAGGATATGAAGAAAGTGGTGGTCTTTTTGATAAGCACCCATGTATTCAATTCACTGTACTTTTGAATTCCAACAAGCTTTGATCTCCTTAGTCCAGAAAATCCAGCAGGAAGCTGAGATTCAGCCAGGCCGCAAGTGAATACTTTTGACTTGGTATGGCTCTGAGTGTAGGAAGAGAAAATGCCAAGCAAATATTTGCACATTGCACTGAATGCAATAAAAAATGCATTAGAAATGAGTTAGTTGACCTCATGGTGTTTGATTAGAAATAATTTCTGTGGATTATCTCATTGCCTAAAAATGCTTTTCCTTTGCTCCTAGAACAGCTCTGTGACCAGAATTCTGTGCGTAGCTTCATGGTTTTCTCTTATTCCCCTCATGACGTGGCAAGTCCCTTCCACCCTCATGGGGTCTGTGTTTTTCCTACAAACACAGTTGTCATTTAACCCATTCTTATCCATAGGGAACATTGTCCAGATTGTTTCTATAAAATCCTTCAGCATTTTAAAGTACAAGGGATCTGGTATAAGAGTTCTGTAAGAGAATTTAGCATTTTGTGTTTTCATTTCTATGGAAATTGAAAACACTAACACAGACACAGTAGTTGGAAAGGTTCTTATATCAGCTCTTGCCAGACAGTTTTAGATGTTTATCATTTGTGATCACGGTTAATTTTTGGTCTTAATAATAAATAGTATTATTTTACTGCTACAAGTGACAGGACAGAGACTGATTAAAATGTTTAAATGATGTATTGGTGATCATACAGATCGCTATATTCCTGAGAGTTTTGCTGTCATTAAATAGAGACAAGGGGAATTCTGATATCCCAAGCACATCAGCCTGGGTAGGCCAAACTCAAAAGAATCTAAATAGCAGAGCGTGCCCAACACACTGAGTAAACAACAAGTTAGTTTCACCAAACATTATCACTTTGTATTAAATTAATATCATTGATTTGAATTTTATTTGTTTACACTTCTAACTTACATACATGTTAGGGCTCTATAATTGCATAAACTCTAAATGTAGGGGAAATTGGGCCTGATATTTTGGCGCATCAGGTTAAGCTGCTGCTTACAATGCTGGCATTCCGTATCGAAATGCTGGTTTAAGCCCTGGCTCCTGCTTCTGATACAGCTCCCTGCTAATGTGCTAGGGAAGCAGAGGATGAAGGCTCAAGTACTTGGGCACCTGCCACCCACGTAGGAGACCTGGATGGAGTTCCTGGCTTCTGGCTCAGGCCTGGCCCCACCCTGGCTTTTGGGGCTTTTTGGGGAGTGAATCAGTGGATGGAAGATCTCTTTCTGTGTCTCTTCCTCTCTCTCTCTTTGTCACTCTGCCTTTCCAATAAATAAATAAATCTTTTTTTAAAAAAAGTAAGGAAAATTAATCCTTGTATTATGTGGATACATATTTAGGTAATATAATGAAAATATTTTAGAGTTGTGTGATAACTTTCTCCTGTTTAAGAGTTTCGTCCTTGAGTGAGGTCAAAGATAAACACAGCTGAATATTATTTAGGGCAGTGAAACCAGATTTTATTCATTAACAACTGCTAGTAGGGAAAAGAGCTAAGCTCTGCTCTGATTTATACAGAGGTGATGGGGCATTTGGGGAGACTGAAGGAATAGGCAGGAGCAGCGGCGGCCTGAGTCTGGACAATGAGAAATTATAGATTGGGAGGTGGCAGGTGTGCATGTGAAATTCACCTGGTTTTGCTAACTGGTGCTTATCAAAGTAAGGCTCCTTACTTCCTGAAGAGACTGGGAGACAGGGTCCCTGTGTTCAGGTGTGGGCTGGGGTGAACAGTAAATTCTTAGGGCAGCTTTGAGATTGCTCTGGCAGGCACTCAATTAGGGTCCTCCTAGGGCTGTAGGGCTATAGCATTGAGCTGTTAGAAGCTCTGCTGGTGTTTTCTTCAAGTCATTAGAGGTCAAAATTGATGCCTAAGTAGGAAGAGTGCTCAGAGGAACCCGGCTGGAGTTTAGTTGAGGAGAGAATCCTAGTCAGCGATAGCTACAGGGTGGCAGCGTGCCTGTACTTACGATAAACAGTGGCTGCTGTGAGTTAACTGTTGTTAAGACACTTGGATTTTAGTCTTAACTGAAAAACTCATGAAAGATTATGCTGTTTTATTTCAGGGAGGAGATCTGGACTACAAAATTCAAGAATATAAAGAAGCTGGAAATATCTTTCCAGAAAATCAAATAATGGAATGGTTTATCCAGCTGTTGCTGGGAGTTGACTACATGCACGAAAGGTATGATCATCACTCCTGGTACAGGATATATTTCAACAGTCATGTCTGAATTGGAAAAGTGAAAGTTTTGTTTTCTGGTAGAATTGAAAGAAAACAAGGCCGAAAGATCAATGGCTGTGTTAAAGACATCTATAATGTATTTTTTTTTTTCCTTAGGGAGACTGTTGAATGCTTATATCCAGAGAGTTGACTTGCATAGTTTTTTGTTGTTGTTGTTGCTCTACAAATCAATTTAACCTTTGAAGACAGAAACTTGTGTTAAATACATTCCTTTGTTCTCAGACACTTTCTTGCATGCCAAAAATTTATTGTATTTTTAAAAAGATTTTATTTTATTTTTTAAAGATTCATTTATTTATTTGAAAATCAGAGTTAGAGAGAGAAGGAGAGGTAGAGAGAAAGAGAGAGAGAGAGAGAGAGGTCTTCCATTCGCTGGTTCACTCCCCAATTGGCCACAATGGCCGGAGCTGAGCCGATCTGAAGCCAGGAGCCAGGAGCTTCCTGTAAGTCTTTCCACATGGGTTCAGGGGCCCAAGGACCTGGGCCATCTTCCACTGCTTTCCCAGGCCATAGCAGGGAGCTGGATTGGAACTGGAGCAGCTGGGACTCCAACCAGTACCCATATGGGATGCTGGCACTGCAGGCGGTGGCTTTGCCACAGTGCTGGCTACGATTTTATTTATTTATTTGAAAGGCAGAATTAGAGAGAGGGAGAGATGATAAGAGAGCTTACATCCACTGCTTCACTCCCCAAATGGTTGCAATGGCCAGGACTGGGCCAGGCCAAAGCCAGGAGCCAGGAGCCAGGAGCTTCATCCAGGTCTTACAAATGGGTGCATGGACCCAAGCACTGCTTTTCCAGGTGCATTAGCAAGGCACTATATCAGAATCAGGGCGACTGGGACTTGAACCCGTACCCATATAGGATGCTGGCACTGCAGACAGAGGCCTAAATTGCTATGCTACAGCACTAGCCCCAATTTATTGTATCTTATGGCAGGCTTAAGTTGTAAAACCTTAGTATACCACAAGTAAATTGTGTAGTCATCTTGGAATGTGTCAGCGCACATTTGATGGGGTTCACATCTCAAGTTGAGGCAAAAGATATTCTATGGCCACAGAGAAAGAGAGAGAAGTATTCAGATAAAAAGTCAACTTTGAAGTGAAATATCTGATATAGGCCAAAGTCTGTTTTAATAATTTGTTGTCTTTGATTTTTTTTAAGATTTATTTATTTTGAAAGGCAGTCTTACAGAAATAGAGAGGGAGAGAGAAAGAGACAGTGAGATCTTCTATTTGCTGATTCACTCCCTAGATGGCTGCTACATCCTGCACTGGGCCAGGCCAAAGCCAGAAGCCAGGAGCTTCATCTGGGTCTCCCATGTGGGTGGTAGGGGCCCACACAATTGGGCCATCTTCCACTGCTTTTCCCAGGTGCATTAGCAGGGAACTGGATAGAAAGTGGAGCAGCCAGGACACTAACCAGCTCCTCTATGGGATGCTGGTGTTGCAGTCAATGGCTTTACCCCCCGTGCCACAATGCCAGCGCCTTTCTGATTCTCATACTCTCCTTAACAATGTATTATAAAACTTTTTGTGGTTTTTCTATAGGTCAAAAGTAAGAACTTTAGATGTCGAATGTTTTATAGACTCTTAAGATGCTATGCACACATTTGAAAAGATGAACTTATCTAGACAAGTAGACGGTGTGAGGCCTCGCTGGTAGCTTTCTTCTTGGGAGTGGGCACCACAGGTGGCAACTTTGTTTCCTAGCAGAAGGACTAATTCACAGCACACCCAAGGCCTGCTTATCCACCAGTGTCACATTCCTCTGTGTGTCATCTGTGCCTTCTGGAGGCATAGAAAGGAGTCAGGATGCTCTGGAATTCAGCGTGTACCCTCTGAAACACCTGCTCAGTGGTTCAGGGAGCTGCTGATTCGTCCACAGCGCCTAAGAATCCCTTGAATGATGTCATATTGAGACAATGATAAAAGAAGAGCAGTCCTTTAATAAATGATCAAAAGCTGCTGACTGTTAGGATTTCCGTGCATTTACAGGTCTATCGGTTATTGGTTGGATTTTCTTTTACCACTTTTTTGGCATGTTGTTGGCTTACGCATAAAGAAAATAACTCAAAAACAACACAAAGATGTCAACTATGGCCTTCTATGTGTAAAACAGAAAACCAAAATCAGGTTGATTTAAAAACCCAAATTTTTTTAAATATGTGAGACTACCTAGTGATAATTAAATAAGTTTAAAATAACTTTTCAAAGAGAGGATTTAATTTTTTCTAGTCACTTATCATTCAAAGAAAGTCATTAAATAGGGCTAAACATTTGGATATTTGTGGGCCTGTGGATCTGAAACACCATCCTTTGTGATTTAGGAAATAAATTATGATAAACTTATTCATTATATTATTATAAAAGTTATTTTAAGGTTTCTGTATAGACAGAAAAAATGTCAATTTTATATTACAACTCATTAAGTAGAGAAGTTAAAAATAAATCCTGGGGGGTCAATTGGTGCAGTAGTTAAGAAGCCACTCTAGATACCTGTATCCCATATCCAAGTGCCTGGCTTTGAGTCCAGCTCTGCTCCCGATTCCAGCTTCCTGCTAATGCACACTGGGAGGCAGCAGGTGGTGGCTCAAGTAGTTGGCTTCTGTGACTCACATGAGAGATTCAGGTTCCAGCACCCTGGCTTCAGTCTGGCCCCGCCCTGGCTGTTGTGGGGCATTTGGAGGTCCAACCAGCTGATGGGAGATCTTTTTCTGTCTCTGTCTTTCTGCCTTTTCAAGAAAAAAATCTTAACTTCAAAGAGCTCTGAATGAACTAGCGGAGGTGAAATGCATACCCATATAGCTAGAAGCATGGTGGGCGTACAGGATTCAGTGTCTCTACCGCATACTTGATTTATAACCTTTGGCAAGCTGCTTAACCTCTCTGAGTTTTTGTCTCTTGGTCAATAATACAGTGATAATTATGGGACTGTCCCTATTTACTTTACTTTTTTTATTTTTTTATTTTATTTATTTATTTATTTATTTATTTATTTTTTGACAGGCAGAGTGGACAGTGAGAGAGAGAGACAGAGAGAAAGGTCTTCCTTTGCCGTTGGTTCACCCTCCAATGGCCGCCGCGGCCGGCGCGCTGCGGCCGGTGCACCGCGCTGATCCGATGGCAGGAGCCAGGAGCCAGGTGCTTTTCCTGGTCTCCCATGGGGTGCAGGGCCCAAGCACCTGGGCCATCCTCCACTGCACTCCCTGGCCATAGCAGAGAGCTGGCCTGGAAGAGGGGCAACCGGGACAGAATCCGGCGCCCCGACCGGGACTAGAACCCGGTGTGCCGGCGCCGCAAGGTGGAGGATTAGCCTATTGAGCCACGGCGCCGGCTTCCTATTTACTTTATAGGACTATAGGGAATATTGTTATACATTAAAAAGTTTACAAACTGTTAAGCTCTGTGTAGTATATGTGTGTATGTGTATGTTTATAACTCAACATGCAAATGAAGACACAGCCACCAGACAGGCTTAAAGAACCTCTGACAGTAAGAACTGCTGCCAAAGATTTAGAGCAACTAGAATTCTCTTACATTTTTAATGGAGGTACATTGGTATAAACACTAGAGAAATGTCTGATAATAGTTCCCATCACATATACCCTGTGACCTAGTAATTTGTTCTTGAGAATAGAAGTGAGTGCTGGTGTCCAACAAAAGATGCAAAAAAAGGTCTGTAGAAGCCTTGTTTGTGATAGCCTGAAAGTCTGAAAAATGTCCATCTACAGTGGAATGGTCAAATAAATTGTGGTATGCAGACACAGTAGAATCCTGTCTAATTAAAACAATAACGCACAGCTGGTATGTGTGATCTGGATGAAATTCAGAGACAGAGAGTAGGGTAAAAGAATCCAGATGCAGAAGACTATATACTTAATGATTCCATTTTTGTGAAGTTCAAAAGCAGGTAAAACTTATCTACAGTGAGCCAGAATAGAAGTCACTGTTGGGGGGCCGGTGCTGTGGTGTAGCAGGTAAAGCCCCAGCCTGCAGTGCCAGCATCCCATATGGGCGCCGGTTCTAGTCCCAGATGCTCTTCTTCCGATCTAGCTCTCTGCTATGGCCTGGGAAAGCAGTAGAAGATGGCCCTAGTGCTAGGGCCCCTGCACCTGCGTGTTTACTGTCCCTGGCTCCTGGCTTTGGATCAGCTCAGCTCTGGCTGTTGTGGTCATTTGGGGAGTGAACCAAAATTCATCAGGTTTAAGATGTATGCACTTTTTTTAAAAAAAAATATTTTTATTTATTTGACAGGTAGAGTTACAGATAGTGAGAGAGAGAGAGAGACAGAAAGGTCTTCCTTCCGTTGGTTCACTCCCCAATGGCTGCTACGGCTGGCGCTGTGCCAATCTGAAGCCAGGAGCCAGGTGCTTCCTCCTGGTCTCCCATGCGGGTGCAGGGGCCCAAGCACGTGGGCCATCCTCCACTGCCCTCCCGGGCCACAGCAGAGAGCTGGTCTGGAAGAGGAGCAACCAGGACTAGAACCTGGGTGCCCATGTGGGATGCCAGCGCCACAGACAGAGGATTAACCTAGTGCGCCACGGCGCCGTCCCCAGATGTATGCACTTTAATGTAAGTTATGCTCTAATTTAAAGCAAATGAGAATAGCTTCACATAAAGTATAGTTTAACCTCTGTAGAATATCAGAGGAGGGAGAATGTTTCCACATAGGGGAATTAATGTAGGCTTCTGGGAAGAAATGGCAATTGACTCAGGGTATGTTTTGAATATGGTTAAAGATGGGTCAGATCTTTTCAGGTGTAGGGAAGAGAATGAGCAAAGGCACAGACATGGCTGTTTTAAGTGAATGATTCAGTTGGGAAGGCTCTTGAGGTACATGAATGAAGTCGTGGCAAAGGTAGGTTAAGATCAAGAGTACATATGATATTTGTCCCTTTGGGACTGGCTTAATTCACTCAGCATAATATTTTCCAGAT